GGGGGAGGACTCTGGCCCCAAAACTGAAGGAGACAGGCCTCGCAGAGGTGCCAGACAAAGGAGCCCATTCCGAGCAGCCGCCAACCTGGCCTCCTACGGTCCCACTCTGATTTTTGTTTTAAGAATTTAGGCCAAACTAATCTCTGCAGTCCACCAGCCTGCTTCTCTCTCACTTTCACTCACCCATGCACCCAGCAAACAGTTTCCGAGCTCCCCACTCCAGCCGTCGGCTGGCACTGGAGCACTAGGCAGTGAGCCAGATGCAGCCCCTGCCCTGAGGGTCCTGCAGGACCACGGCAGGCAAGGTGGAGAGGGCCCTGTGGCACCCTCTCCCCCAACACTTTTTGCTCTGCTCCCAGCCTCAGTGCCCGGCCCCTGCACCCTCCAACCTCTCTCCCCACCAGGGTCCCTACTCTTAGGCCAGACCTTCCCTACCACCAACCACCACATTGCTTGCTCTGGTCACTGACCCTCAGACACACAGCAGCTTGCACACAAGGGCCGCACCGAAGTGCATACTTGCAAAGCAGAAGTTGGTGTCTCTACACACACACACACACACACACACACACACACACACACACCCGCCGTTCTCCCCACTCTCCCTCAGCCTACCTGAGGCTCCTGACAATCTCGCCCCAAAGGGGTTATGAGCTCCTGGGTATGGCAGGCAGGTACCTGGGATGGCGGGAGGAATGACTTCACCTGACTTCACCAGAGAGTAGGTCTCCTGACCTACTCTCTCTCCTCTCCCAGAAAATCCAACTTCTTGGAGTCCTGCTGATGCCACCTGCAAATTTTTTTCCAAATCTGTCCACTTCGCATTTCCCCAAGTATCTGCCCGAGTTCAAGCCCTCATGTCTGACTGATTCACTCTCCTATCTACAGCCCTTTGGCTGTAAACTTTCCTTAAGCATAGCAGACAGGAGACTTCCAGTTGAAAGTAACATAACCCTAACTCAAATGGGCTTTCAGAAAAGATTAAATGTATGGGCTCTTATCCCTAAAAGGCTCAGTCTCATCTCAGGCGGGCCTGAATCCAGAAGATCAAGTAATATTGAGAGGAGTTTGTCTCTTTGCATTGACGGTGTTTTTGTTGTTTGTTTGTTTGTTTCCTTAGCATAACACTCAGGTACACCGTCTCCACAATTAGCCGCACTCTCCCCACATCAAGGCCAGCAGGAAGAGACACACATTTCTCACCTGTGGATCTCATCAAAATCCAGGACACAGTTTCATGGTGATTTCAGCTGTCCAGTGGTCACACGTGGGTCCTGTGCACTGTCCCCACATGCACCACAAGCAGGGACAGAAGGCTCCTGTGGGAAACCCATACCTCTGTCAGGAAGGGCGATATGGCCGCAAACTGGTATCAGAAGACACAGACAGGCCTGCATGACATAGGAAAACACCGGCGGAGAATAGGAAGCTCCGTAAAGCTTGGCTGAGCCAAAGTGTAGTAATCACAGCCATCACACTACACATGCTCTATGTCTGCCCTATTATCATGCCGCACAATTGCTACCACGCTTTGCCATCACTGTGCATCTGTCTCTAGGTAGGTGTGGGAATCCCTGCTCTGCGTGTAGTATCTAAGGACACATCTGCATGGTGTGCTCTCATGGCTCCTGCTAATCCCTGAAATAACAGGGTGGGGACTCCCTCCCACGGCAGTTCTGAACTAACCTTGAGCTGACATCAGGATGAACTTGACTCCTGCCCAGGCTGCAGGGTGGGGTGAGTGGGAGTTAGACCTCTGCGGGGGTGTTGCCAAGACAGCCCAGGGTTCTGATCCCCCTGCTGTGTACCCAGATGCCCCAAGTAAGGGGCCTAGTAGGGGAATGGGTTGAGTGGGCACCACCCCAAGGAGCCCCTGAGTATCCCTGAAAACTGGCATCTCTCTAGCTTCAACTCCAAGATTGGCTCTCCAATGACCTCTCCAAAGCACCTGGTCACAGGCACGGGGTGCAGAAGCTTGCCCAGATCCCATTTACTGAAGATATCTGACGGTCTGGTCTATGGGAAGAAGTGCAGGGACACTCCTCTGAGGGCAAACAAGCACTTAATTCTCTTGGCCCAATCCAAAGAAGTCGTCTGTCCTGGAGTGCCCCCTGCTGGCTATAGCCTCAAATGGCATTCCCCAGAGCTCAGGTCCCAGCCGTGCAGAGGGAGGCTCAGAGGTCCACCAGCCTCTTCAGCAGTGTGCATGCACAGCCAGGGCTGCCAGGCAGTCATCCTGGGCATGGGCAAGGGCAGCTAGGGCAGAGGTTAGACACTCATTTCTGTCTACAGAAACGTGTCAATGAAGCTTTTATTCCCCCCCCCTCCTCCTACAGAAAGGGTACAAAGAAAGGGTCAGGCTCAAGTCTTGCTCACCAAAAAATAACTGGGCCGTCAGGGCACAGTTCTTCACTTTGCTTAGAGGTGGAGTTTGAATGCCTGCCTGAATCAGATCGTCCCAGATGTGAGTGGTTTATAAGCTGTGAGTCTGATGTTTCCACGGATGGGGTGACGCACAGGTCCGCCACCCTCCTGTCTGAGAATGTGGGCTCCGCCTGGCAGAGACTTTCCAGATCTGTGGGTCTACAATGTGGTTTTTCACAAAACCATGCATATTCTGTATTAAAAACGTGTCTGTGTTCTGAGATTAGTGCATTTTTCCTCTTGTTGATATGGTGGCGAGAGTGAAGCCTGGTTTTTTTTTTTTTTTTGGTCTTTTTCATTTTTATCGGTACTGGGGATCAAACTCACGACCGCCTGCTTGCAAGGCAGGTGCTTATGCCACTGAGCTAAATCTCCAGCCCCGCCTGGTTTGTTCTTAAGCACAACATAAAAAGGTGATGACTGTAGACACCTGAGCTGCTAAAAAAACAAAACGAATATCAAATACTAACATGGGAACTCCTGGCCCCCCTGGAGATTTCTCTAAAATGAGACCCAGTGACTCTGCTCCTCGGCCGTTCCTCCCCATCTCAGGAGAGCCCAATATCAGAGAGGCTCAGGAGCCTTCAAGACCCAAAACGTTGTCACACACGTATTCTCCAGGAAGAGGGAAATCCTTGCACCCTCTGCAGTCCCACACCACCTCCTGTCTCCCATGAGGGTGACTTCCCCCAACCCCTGGCGGGCCAACACCTCCCTGCCCGGTGCCAGCACAGCCCCGAGTGCCGTACTGAGCCACAGCAGGTGGCTCCTCAGAGTCCTGTCCGCACAGCCACGGTGGCTCTGCCACTCACACCCCAGAACCCTTCCTATCACCGTAGTGCTGCCTTTTCAGAGTGTCATAGAAATGGGCTCGTACAGCATGTAGCCTTCTGAGATTGGCTTTTTGCTTTTGTTTTTTCCTGCAGTACTGGGGATTGAACCCAGAACCTGCATACTGAGCTACATCCCCAGTCCTTTAAATAAATTTTATTTGGAGACAGAGTCTCACTAAGGGACTGAATTGCCCAAGCTGGGCAGCAACTTGCCATCCTCCTGCCTCAGCCTCCCAGAGTGATTTCATTTTTAATCTGTCTTTTTAAATCACCTTAAAACACTGGATCAGACCCTTGTGCAGCCCCGAATATAGGCATGATACTCATTTAAAGAGCATCTGTCTAAAAGCTGGTAACACAAGGTTTTCAGCCCCGAGTCGATGTAACCTGTCTCATTCCCATTCAAGACTGACAACACCAAGCAGCAAGATATTTAGGGGACACTCAATTCCCTAGAATAGGCACCCAGAAGTCGCTCATCATTGTCCTAAACCTGCAGTCTGCTTGGATTCCAGCAGAGCCTCCCCAAAACTCAGAATGCCCCCTAAGCAGGAGCAGTCACCTCATGGATACCAGCTTAGCCCTCAAGCAATAAGGACTTCTCTGGAGGCTCTTGCAAACACAAAACTGAGGTAATGACTACCCGGGCCCAAGCCCACCTCAGCAACCCCATAAAAACTGGTCCTCATTCCTTTGTTGGGGATCAATCTGGTCTCCCTCAGAGCTGTACCCCTGTCAGCTCCTCAAGAGAAAGTCCCTGGCCCATTTTTGCTTATCCTCTAGCTAATAAATTAGCCTATAAATTATAATAAATAGCCTAATAAATTAGCCTATGTCTCTCACTGACACGCCTTGCAATTCTTTTCTGCAACAAAGATCAAGACCTTGCCTTGGCTGAGGTGAGGTCCCCATCTCCTCTTCAATCCTGTCCAGTGATACCCTCAGGCCCTAGGCCTACCTCATTTAGCAATCACCTATGCTTGAGCTACTGAGTGAGCTTCGGGCCCCTTTGATGTCCATCCTGTAACTCTGCAGCCACTGAGGTCACCTCCTTACACACAGTCTCCATTTGCCTCCAGGATAGTAGGTCTCTGGCACAAAACCAGCCCCTTCAAGATCGGCATGGCTTAGATACAAGATGTCATCCCTCGTGTGTTTGGAAGGTGACTGGATCACAGGGGGCGCTATATTCACCAGTAAATCAGTCCATGGATGAGCTCCCAGGGACCAGGAGGCGGGGCCAGTGTGGGGCTGAGTCCATAGGAGCATGATCTGCTGCGGTGCATGTCCCTCCCCGGTTCCTCCCTTGTCTCTCTGCTTCCCGGCCACCAGACATGAACTACCTCCCTCCACTATGTGGCTTCCGCTTGGAGTCAGCCAGCTATGGACTGAATCCCCAAAACTGTGAGCCAAAATACACATCTCCTTCTTGAAATCAAGGATGTGAGGTACTTTGTCCCAGTGACAGGAAAGTACTAACACAAAGATCAAAGGGACTCTTTTATGTATTCTAAAATTAAAAACTCAACTAGCAAAACAAGTCCTGAATGCTTTGCTCCCTTAATACCATGTTTCCCTTGGTCCTGAACCAGCACCCTGTGACTTCCTTTCTTTTATATATATATCTGAATTTCCTTTCAAATGTATTTTTATAACACTGTTTATTATTATTTTCTGCCTCCAAAACACATACTCAGCACTTTTCAAAGGGCTATAACTTGTTTGCTTTTGAGTAAAGGCCTCCCTCCCCATGAGGATTCCAAAACAATTTCTGAAAAGTCGAAGCAGTGGGACTCACCGATAAAGGAAACCCTGCTACATCCTTCATTGAGGACTGAGGTGAGCTTGTGATTAAGGTCAGTGTGCCTCATTTTATCGCTGCATGCTAGGGAACGGCTCGCTTGTGGGAACGATGTCCTTCTTCTGAGGGTCCCTGGCTGCTGGGCCGGCCCTGGCATGCAGGTGTAGCTGGTGGGGGCCGATTGTTTCGTTATCATCATCATCTACAAAAGCTCTGCTTTTGTGGGCACCCCAGAGGTGCTCCCCTGCAGTTCATCTCACCTCCAGCAGCTCTGTGCCTGGGGGTCCCTAGGCCCACAGCAGGAACTCACACTGCCCAGTTACCCAACTAGGAAGTGAAGACAGAGGTAGGCAAGGACCTGGAGAGCTCTGGATTCCAGGACCCTCGGTCACTGAGTGAAGTGCCGTGGGGATGAATGACGAGACAGCCATGTGTCCCGCTGCTGCTGCATGGCTGTCGACCTATGATTTGACCGCTTGCACTGAATCTGTTACACTCGACTATGTGAACAGATTTCTTAATGTGGAGGCTTCTTTCAGAACGCAGTGTGGCCTTCTGACAACATCTACCCCGAGAATCTGCCACTGTCACAAAGAGAGTGAACGTGTCTGTCATGCCCGAGAGCTGTCTCATTGTCCCTGCTCACAACTGCAGCTTTTTGTCCCTGGACTGTGGAGTTGCATGTGTACCTTGTCTTTTCTTGGTTGCTTTCACCCAGAATAATTATTCTGAGATTCACTCCTGGCCTGTGACAATGGCCTTTTTTGGAAGGGAGGCCACCCAGGGTCCAGTGAGCCTTACGATAGAAGGTGGTGTAGATCCAGGCACACCCACTAGGGAACGTCAGGTGAAGCCTCAGGGTGCACAGAGAGAGATGGAGGCGGGGTGATTCTTGGAGAAGCCAAGGAACACGGCAGCTGACAGAAGCCAGAGACCCAAGGAAGGAGTTGAAACCCACCCAGGCAGGAGTTAGAGGGTCTTGGAGGGAGCAAGGCTGGCCAGCACCCTGATTTCAAACCTCTGCCCTGCATCAGAGGGTAGGAAAATGTGCCCCAGGATGGGCATTGGCCAAGAAATGAACTCAGTGTTCCAGCAGCATCAGGCACCTGAAGTCTTGTTTTGGGCAGCCTCTCCCAAACTTAAAGCTTCAGAGAGTGAGCCTTGGAGTGCGTCTGTGGAGGGAGGGACTCTCTGGAGGAACCAAGGTTAAACAGAGGACCAAGGGGGCCTGGTGCAGCGGGACTGGTGTCCTTGTGACAAGAGGAGACGTGACACAGAGGGAAGGGCAGGCACCCAAGCAGCAGCGAGCTGAGGAGTGAGGATCAGGCCTGGGAGAAACATTCCCTGCCGACTGCTAGGTCCCGGACTTCTGGCCTCCAGGGCTGCGAGGAAACACATTTCAGTGGTTTAAGCCACCTGATGTGAAGTGCCTTGCTGGCCGCCCTAGCAAACTAACATTCTCCCCAACCAAGCAGTCACCAGCTGGGCTCGAGGGGAAGGCGTCTGGAGTGTCCCGAGAATGCCTCGGGATCTGGGGTCAGCACCTTGTGCCCACTGTGCCCCACCCTCCCATGACTCCCAGCAGCACTGGTCAGGGAGACCTCTGAGCCAGGTGGCCTCTGCCACAGGTGTGGCAGGCTGAGCCCTTCCTTGGGGACCTGGGAGAGCCTGGGCACAGCTTGCACACAATGCCAGCAAAATGGTGGCATGAGGGCACGACTGCTGTGCCATGGGAGGCAGGGAGGAGCGGGCATCAGCTGGGGCTGCCACAGTTCAGGTCTCCCCCTTCACCCTTTGCTGCCTGCTGCATCTGGGAGCTTTTTCACAGCGGTCTGCCCTTGAGTGGAACCGTGTCGCTGAGAAGCAGCGCAGAGACAAGCATGGAGAGTTTTGTTGATTTTGCTTTGTTTTTAACAGATGAAGTGCGCCCCAGAGAGAGCGCCCCCTGCAGGTCGCACAGCTAAGTTAGCGGTCAAACTGAATCTAGAGACCAGCTCCCGCGTCAAGCAAACCCGAGCATCTTCAACACAAGTGTCACCTGCCTCCTTCTACCATCTAATGGGGTCACTCGAGTAGTCACGTCAGCGTTTGGAACGGGCTGCCGCGCACTTCCAGGTTTTAAGTGTTTCAGTGCCTTATTTATTACAGCAAAATCTAGTTCATATCACTGTTAATGAAACTGTGACTTAACAGAGAAGTTTTATTACAAAAATAAATTTCAGTATTTACTGCTCAATTAGACACTTTGCAATTAAAAGTAAAACTGCACGGTAAAGAGAAATGCTATTGACAATAAACTAAGTTGTCTTCTCTCCCTCCACCTCCCACCCACCCTGCTCCACAATGTTTCAGTGTTGCTGGCATTAATCTGTTTTTACGCTGCTCTGTTCTCCAAATAATTGGACAGTTTCATATTTTTAGCTCGGTACTGATTCCCTAACAGATAGTGGCCTGGTCCTTTCAGTCTTTAACCATCAGCTCCATTAAGAGTCAGCTACTCGGTGGAGCAGGGATACCCTCACCCAAGCCCCTCTGTGAGTCAGTGCCATGCCCAGACTGCAGGATGGGAGAGAGAACCCGTCCTCACCGGGAGGTGATCCCCACCTGGAAACCATATCATTTTCATTGTTTTCCTGCATTGGGTTTTATTCTCTTTTGTTCTGTTTGATTATGTTAAATCTGATGGCATGCGCAGCTATTTAAAAGATAGCAAGGCATATTATGGTGGTCATTTTGGATTTACCATTGACTTGTTTTGAAATCCTTTATTGTATTCATTGTTTTGTTTTTATTGTTTCTAGTCTGTTCTGTTCTGTTTGATTTTTACTATGTCTGAAGGTATCTGCAGCTATTTTGAAGACAACAAGAGACATTATGGTAACTACTGCTGATTTCATAAGGTTTTGAAGTCTTGTATCACTTATACTAGTTTATTTTGATTGGTTTAATTCTGTTTTTTATCTTTCTCGGTTTTATCCTCTTTAAAAAAAAGAAAGTAAAAAAAAATCAGCCACTTGGAGTTGGACACAGCAGCACATGCCTATAAATCCCAGCCCTCTGGGAGGCTGAGGCAGAAAGATTGTCAGTTCAAGCCAAGCCTGGGCAACTTAGTCAGGTCATGTCTCAGAATAAACAAAAAGCTTAAAAAGGCTGGAGATGTAGCTCACTGCAAATGTCCTGGGTTCAAAGTACTAAAAACAAATCAATCACTTGAATGTATTTCTGTTTAATGAAATCCCAAATTTCCATCTTGCCACTGAGGGCACTAATCGTACCAAGAAGGGCCATAGTCTCACCACCTCATCTTATTCAAAAGGCCACATCTCCAAACACCATCAGGCTGGGAGCCACCACTCTGTGTGTGTGTGTGTGTGTGTGTGTGTGTGTGTCTGTGTGTGCGTGCTTGTTTATGTGTTTGAGACAAGGTCACTCTGTGTAGTTCAGGCTGGTCTTGAACTCACTATTAGCTCAGACTGTCCTCAAACCCACAGAGATCCTCCTGCCTCAGCCTCCTGAGTGCTGGGATTACAGGTGTGTGTCACGTCACCCAACAAGGAAACAGGGCCTTAATAAAGGAATAAAGGAATTTGGAATTCCTTTATTGGTCTGTAGCAACCATAAAATAAACCATGGCGAAAGTATCTGTCTGGCTAATCTGCACAGAGCTCCTGTACACACCTGCCCTTGTGGTCATGTTTATGGGAACAGTTCTTCCTCTTGCATGTCCACCATGAAAACACTGTTCTGCTCCTCCAAAAAAGGTCCCTGCCAGGTGCTGATGAGGACTTCCGGGCTGGAACAAGCTGTGTCTAAATCCCATTAGCTTAACATAAAAAGGGCTTGGTGCTGTCACTGTTCTGTAGAGGGTCAGAGCTGCCTGGGCAGGAGATCCCGGGCTCTTTGATACTTTCCCCTGTTATTGCTGTATTAATTCCTCAGTCCTGTAACTTTTCTTCAGCGAATGGGTGACAGAGCTCTTTAAAGAACGAAGAAATTAGGCAAATGCTTCTGATCGGAAGTGTGGATAACGCATTCCACACATTCTCTTCTGTGGGGCTTCCCATACACACTGACACAGCTAATCTTTGCTTCTGCGGCGTGTACATAAATATTATCCCACATGACTAGCATATGGTAGTGCTATGTGTCTGTTAAGAAGATCTCCAACAGTGGCACCTGATACACTGTGGGTGTGGGGTATTTATAGAGCAGTAATAATATTTGAAAACTCTGAAAAGTCTCTGTTTTCCTGCAGATTTCATCTCGGAGGCTGCGTTTTGTAGACAGAAGCTCTTGCCAGCCATCAGAGTGATTGATGGGGTTCAGAAAATGGCTGTGCTGGACACTGTTGCCTCTGCACCCCCCTGAAGGAGCAGCGCCCCCTTCCGGATAGAAATCTTTACAGGTAAGGATTGGGCCTAAATGGTATCGAACTTTTGCCCTTCAGTATATTCGTGTTTTCCGTACTGGAAATTGAACCCACGGTCTTCACATTGAGCTCCATCCCAGTGCTTTTTAATTTTTTAATTTTAGAAAAGGATGTTACTAAGTAACACCGGCTAGACTCAAACTTGTAATCCTCAGTCTTCAATCTCCAAAGTGCTGAGAGTCTATGTACATGTCACCACAGCTGGCTAAAATTAGATTTTTGATGTATTTTCCTTAATTACCTCACAAAAGCCTCAGCCCTCCCTATGGTGGGAAATTGTAGAGTCAAGCAATCTTAGAACCAGATCAGTGAGCTGGGAATACATTAAGTTACCTATTTAGCCAAACCCTCCATTTTTTAAAAAAAATCAAACAATGAAGGCAAAAGTAAGATTTGCATCTTTTTGTTTGTACACCAGCGAGCATTATCCCTAGTTTTTTGTAATACTGCATGTTACTAGGATCAGTCCTATTCTGCCTAATCTACCTTTTTTTTTTTTTTTTTTTTTTTTTTTTTTTTTTTTTGATACTGGGAATCAAACTCTGGACCTTGTGCTTGCCAGGCAGGTGCTTATATCACCGAGCTATTTTCCCAGCCCTATTCTGTTTAATCTAAGACATGTGACTAAGAAACCTTCTGGATAATAACTCCCATCTCAGGTGTTTACGTGGTGCAGGTACCTTAGCAGGTCCAGCTGTGGCCCCTCACATAATGCTTATTGTTGGATACCACTATGCATCAGTTCTGAGCAGGATTTAAATTGTACTAATTGGCTTTCTATGTTTATTTGTGAGTCTGTCCTAGGCCTCTGCCTGATGATGGGAGCTGATTCATACTAAGTGAACCTCTATGAATCACTGGTCCTGGCTGAGGCCTGTAGTGGCCTGTGAGGTCAGAGATACCTCAAAGGGCAAGATAAGGCCACAGCTGAAGACACCTTGGCTCCAACACTTATTAAGTAAATAGAGACTGCAGCTGTAGGCATCTCACTCCTGCAGTCACAACTCCTACCAAAAATGTCATTTTGGAGATAAGACAGTTCTCCTATATTGGCATAATTTACTATTTGGAGAAGGCTTTGAAGTGACTCTCAAGGTTCTGCTCATTTCCTGTGCTTTTCTTAGTTTCCCTGCTCTTTGTTTTGGACCTAATAAATACGGGCAGTTCAAAGAAGTCTTTGTCTTAGCCCTGGAGTGCAGCTAACGGATTTTGACCCTCCTGGAGCCCTAAAACTTGTCTCATTTTATTTAAGCCTTTGTTGTACACTCATTTGGGAGATTGGGGATCTAGGTCAGGACCTGATAGCTTGACAGAACCTTGAGGGGTAGGCATGACTATCCCTACGTTACACACAGGGAAACAGAGTATTATGGATTAAGAACTGGTGGTCAACTTAATGCCACCTGGATTATATCAGCATGGCACTGAGTGTAGATGTTCCACCTGAGGAAAGTTGCCAGCATAACTAGAGAGGTAGAGAAGGAGAAGGAAGGCATTAACGTGTTGTTGTATTGAGGCGTTGAGGAATTGTGGGTTCTCCTACGAGTTGCTGTTTGAGCTGTTGGTTCTCCTGGAGAAGCTCTGGTCCTTACGTTGAGCATCGCTTCCCAGGGGGGAAGACGAGTGCCTTTGAACTCATCACGCTGGCTTCCTGGCATGTACCCAATTGTGCTTGTTGCAGGAGGAGCTCAGGGCCTCTGTGTCACTGAAGATGGCTGTGGTGCCTTTCAGGACAGCTCTGGTCTCACTGTGAGTGTGACTTTGCGGCTCTAGCATAGGACCCTCATCCCACCAGCACAGCTCCTTCACCCGACTGGCACAGACTTCCTGGCTTCCACCACTGACCTTTGGGACTTCCTAGCACGGATCTGTAAAAGAGACTGGTGTGAGTCCTTCTTGTAGGTTCTGGACTTCCAGCTGGACTTGTGGGAAGCATTGTCATGAGCTCTGGGTTTTCATCCAGACTCATGTGGGACATTGCTCTGGGATTTAGGCCCTTGACTAAATATTCTATGTTTTTGGTGTTGCAGATAGATTTCCTGCATTTTCTTGTGTTAACTCCCAGTGACCATTATAAAAATAATATTGTAAACTCCATGTCCTGATTCTAATTGTTCTCTGCACAACCCCTGGCTACAACACAGAGGGTCAGAGAGGTTAAGAGTCTTAACTCAAGGACCTGTAACAAGTAAGACAGAATTAAAACCTGTGACTGTCTGATCTCGCAGCTCTGACCCCTGCCCTCAGAGTCAGAAAGGAGCAGAAGATGACTTGGAGACTTGAGCAGGAGCACTCTTCACTGGCTGGGCTGTGTAACTCACACTGTCCCATGCCTTCCACAAGTGCCAGGTGTGGGACCGGGCCAGGTGGAACCTGTTCTCTAACTTGGAGCAGCGCTCTAGCTATATGGGAGACAGACATGTGACAGACACCACCACTTTGTGACCCAAGCTGAGAAGGACAATCAGGGACTCCTGTCTTAACCCCAGAGTTCAGCACAGACCCTCAGAGGTGGAGGTGCAGGAGCTGATCAGGAAGAGTGGCGAACTGAAGAGGCAAGCTTCTGGGCAGAGGCAGCTGCGTGTTCAGGAGAGGGTCAGACAAGCCAGGTGTACAGGGGATTGGACCTGAGCTAGTGCAGCTGCCAGAGACAGATTACAGAGTGCCATGCACCTGCTAAAGTAGGGGAGCCAAGGCATCCCAAGGCTGCAGGTGGGGGGGGGGCATCTGGCTGTGAATGGATAACCCACTCCTGTGGAGAGGGTCTCAGAGAGGAGCTCAGGCTGGGGCACAGAACCCAGGAGCCTGGTACAGGAACCTAAAGGTCATGTGACAGTGGGAGGAACAGAAAGAACCCTTGCTCAGCAGAGAGGACACATAGATCACAGGGAGGGGAAGAATCCAGGATGACTCTGGATTTCAAGTCAGGGTGGAGGGTGACTACAGGGCCAGTAGCTGAGACCAGGGACACAGAGGTGGGAGTGGCTGAGTGGTGGCTGGAATTTTCCACGGAGAGCAGGATCCAGGGAGGAGGAAGGATGTGGACAGTGAGGCAGAAGCCTCTGGGCCTGGAACCTATGGGCGTCTGGCGCTGAGGAGGAAGAAACATGGGTGGATGCAGGAGGGCCAGGTGGGGGATGCGATGGAGAAGTGGGGGTCAAAGTCCCCTGCTAGAGGAGTGGCCTTTGGGAGAGTAGTGGGCGAGTGGAAACTGAGCAGAACAGGGAGATGACATTCTGCACAGCCCAGTGGCACTGAGGACCCAGCAGCACTCAGCAGTAGGCGCTGTGGGGGAGGAAGGGCTGACCATTTGTCCAGGGTTGGGTGCACCAAGAGATCAGGAGAGGGACTAGGGCACAGGCAAGTTCCTCAGTCCTCAAGGGCTGCCCAAGTCAGCTCCTAGCTGGATCGATGGGCTTGGGAGGGCACCCTGGCCCAGCTGCTGTCATGGGAATGGGAGCCAGCACCTCTCTGCAGGGCTGCCCAGGCACCTACACTCAGACACTTGGGCCCAGGGCAGCAGTGGGGCAAAACAGAAGGCGCCCTGCACCAGGAGTCTAGGAGGCCAGCAGGGTGGAAAAACTCTCAGCAGCTGAGCTGGGATCCGAACCCACACTGTCTACCCTGAGATCTGTGGTGTTGACCAGGGAGGCTGAGGACCTCAGAAGACTCACAGGGCCCATTCAGACAGAAAATCACACCGCTCATAGGCCACAGGGGATTCCCTGGATGGTCAGGTGCGTGGCTCAGGAGCTAAGTGGTCTCAGGGCCTTCTAGAAGCCACCTTCTAGAGGTTTTCAGGGTCCGCTTTGATGGGGTACAGACTTTTGGGAAAAGTTAGCATGCCCCAAACAGCAGTACAAGACCATCCGGAAGGCTGACACAGTGTCTGTGGGTGGCTGGAAGCACGGCCACTGTGGTCTTCAGGAAAGGCCCGAGCTAGCGGGAGCCAGTTCAGTAACTCAAACTTCCAAAAGGTGTTTTGAGGCCTTTCTCTTCGTTTTTACATCACTCCTGCACTCCGAAAGCCTAACTTATTTTTCCAACAATACAGATTTATTTTCTAACAACTGGCCCATTGCCATCCTGAAACTTTACTTGGAGTTGAGCTTAAGGAGTCTGCCAGGTACCTCTTGTCCCAAGCTTCAGGCTTCCAAAGAGCTAGAGCCCAGCAGACTTCTGTTTCTTGTTTTCAGAGGATGCATTTAATGTTCAGACTTCACTTCCCTGCCACGAAGGCTAATTACTATGTCTTTCTGAGAAAGCAGGCTGTGCAGAGGATGACCATAGACACGCACAGCTCTGCCTGATCTATACTCAGATTTCCCTGGGGACGTGAATTCTCCAGTGCTGTGCGTGGGAGGGAGGAGGTTGCTAAGATTTCATTTTTTTAAAAAACAGGATAAAACCAAGAAAAATAACAGAATAAAACCAATCAAAATAAACTAGTATCAGTGATACAGGACTTCAAAACCTTATGAAATCAGCAATAACTACCATAATGCCTCTTGTTGTCTTCAAAATAGCTGCAGATACCTTCGGACATAGTAAAAATCAAACAGAGCAGAACAGACTAGGAACAATAAAAACAAAACAATGAATGCAATAAAGGACTTCAAAATAAGCTAATAGTAAATCCAAAATGGCTAGCATAATATGTCTTGCTATCTTTTAAATAGCTGATTCTGCCAAAAATAATCAAACAAAAACAAAAGAGAATAAAACCAAACCCAACAAAACAATGAAAATGATACGGTTCCCAGGAGGGCACCATCTCCTTGTGAGGCCTGCTTCTGCCCCTGCCCCCAGCAGTGTGAGAGTGCTGCTGACTCACGGAGAAGGGCTTGGGTGTGGCCGTCCCCACGCCCACAGCACCCATGCATGGTGCTGGTTTCCAGGCAGGGATCACCTCCTTGTGAGTGAGGCCTTGTTCTCTCCCCCTGCAGTCCACAATGGCACTGACACGTTGTCTACAGCCATAGCACCCTAAATCTGCCTGATCTTGACTGATCCTGGAAGCTAAGCAGGGTGGGGCCTAGTTAGTACTTGGATGGGAGGTTGCTAAGATTAACTCTACAGAGAAGCCTCTTCCCTGACTATGTAAGTGGAGGTCACCGATGATCTAAAAGGACATAAGATAAGGGGAAATAATTAATAAAATAACTGAAAAAACAATGTTACTGAGGCTTTGTTTACAAACACACTCACAGAAAGATGGGGAATCCTTTGATGCGTGCTGCATTGGTTGGTGACAGACCTCTGATTCTCGCTCCTTATCACAGCAGGTATTGACTGGGGGCCACCTGGATGCCATCTTTTCAAAACAAAAACCCAGGAGGCCTAGGTCTATAGTTGTGCATGGTGCAGTCACTGATTGATAAGCCACAATTTATTACAAGGGTTAGATTTACAGGCCAGTATGTGTTTTTCAAGTTGTGATTTAGATCCTGGAACAGACACTGAGGAGGACAGTTTTTAGCCCAGAGCAGAGGAGTGTATCATGTAGAATTAGTCAGGGCGCTGCAGCCTCTGCATTTCTGCTTTTGATTTTTTGATTGTGGAGGTGGGCCTAGGTGCAGCCTGGGCTTCAAATCCCGATGGAGGGAGAGGACCGGCAGAGCTGCTGGCCTCTAGGGGAAGGGCGTCTTGGTGTGGCCTCACTGCCTGGGCACCTCTGACTCCTGCGGCTGCTCTCACAACAAACCCCCCTCTGCTGCCATAACCAGAGGCTCCACGTGAAGCCCGCTGAGTCTCTCATCCTGTTCCTGGAGACCAGGGGAGTGGGCACGGCCTCCGGGATCCATTCACACTGGTGGTCAGCTCAGAACACAAACAGCAGATCCACCATAGAATGGAGAAGGACTGTAGGAGCCCTCCACCACATCCCAAGGCAGGGCATCATCAGAAGCAGGTCACCAGTCCCTCAGGTGGGTGACGGGGCTCGGAGACCGTGAGGGCCAGGAAGCCAGGGGGTAGCAGGGACAGCAAATACCCACCCAGGAGCCCGAACCACCGTCTTTAGGGTCTTAATCTCCCCCCCTGTTTTCTGCCACACCACTTTCCTGGCAGGAAGCAGAAGACTGTGTTTATCAACGGCAAATTACAGGGCGAACACTGGCTCCCACCAAGGGTGGAGGCAGCCACTGCGGCTTCTTTGTTAGATTAATAAAATTACAACAATTGGGGCAGCTGTTCAAGTGTTTATTTTCAAAACCTTGCCGCAGAGGGTGGTGTAACCAGGCTGACTGGGGCAGGTACTAGGATAGAGCTCGCTTCTGTTCCAAGCCCGAATTTCTCCACACAAAAGAACAAAGATTATTAATCCTTGACCTCTGACAACTTGTAGGCATGCACCCTGCAACCTGTTTTCTTTTTCTTTTTCTTTTTTTGTCTTTTTCCTTTTTATCGGTACCAGGGATCGAACTCACGACTGCCTGCTTCCAAGACAGGCGCTTATGCCGCTGAGCTAAATCCCCAGCCCCGCAACCTGTTTTCTAGTCAACAAGCTTACAGCCTACATGTTTTCTTCCTTTGGCCTGAGGAATTTCAATGGTTTTGAAAGGGTGACCTTGCGGGCGAGTCACTTCCCGACCCGTTGGACAGCATCTGAGGAGGCGGATTGTCCTTTGGTTTGTAACCAGGTAATTTCAGCCAAGTTTAGTAGGAGTAAAATTCTGCGACATGAGTCCTGTTTTCCTGGGGACTTGTGGACAGTACAGTTCCCTGGTAAAAGCAGGCCACCTTGTGGTGGCAGGGAAGGGGTTTGAGAGACAGCCAGCTTTGTCTTTTGGGTGTTTTGTTGTTGTTGTTTTGATACCGGGGATCGAATTCACAACCTCAGGCTTGCCAGGCAGGCACTTGTGCCACTGAGCTAAATGCCTGGCTTTTTTGCAGGGTTTTGGGGGGCTTTTTTTCTTTTTCTTTTTCAGTACCGAGAACTGAACACTGGCCTTTGCACATGCTAGACAATTGTTCTAACTCTGAGCTACATCCTAAGTCCTTTTTTTTTTTGACACAGGGTCTTGCTAAGTTGGCCTGGCTAACCTTGAACTTTTGATCTTCCTGCCTCAGCCTCCCAATAACTGGTATTACAGGCTTGCATTCCTACACCGGGCCTCTGCATGCTAATCTTTGCCACCTATTCCTACAGATTTTCTGGGCTGCCCTGTGATGTGAGTACTGTGGAGATTGCTGGAGAATAAAAAGTTGACTCGCCACATCTCTGCTTCATGGGACTTACAGCGAGGGGGTGGGGATCTGGACTCCTCTGACACAGGTAGGAAGAAGAACCTTCTTTCTGGCCCACTCCACCTCTGCAAACCTCCTCCTGCTGTGGACTCCCAGGGTGCCCGGTGCTCATGCATACTCACCCTGTCACTGGCCCATGATCGTGACATGGGGCTTCCTGGTGTGACCTGGCAGCTCCTAGCACCCTAAGCCACCTCGTACCTCCAGGCCCTTATGGACTGACTCAGTCCCCTTGGTCCATGTCCCACCTTGTCCCATTCCAGACCCAAGGACAGGGCCCCTCTTCCAGACCTCATCCCTAAGGCCTTTACCCTCCCCGCTTCTGAAGGCCTAAGCCTGGCAGTGGGATTTCCCTGCCTGGCATTGGACTTGACCGTTTCCCTGTTGAGTTCCACAGCAAGGCCATAAATACTATGGGAGCCTGTCAAGTTCATCTTTATGTTCCTTGTACTGAGTTTAGGATGAACCAAGTATTAGGGATTTAGTGGAATTAAATGAGTGAATAGGTGAACGGACAAAATAAAAGAATGACTACAGATACAAATGGTCGCTAGATTTATCCAAAGGCCCCCCAGGATAGCAGAGTTTCCCCATCAGTTAACATCACCCCCATGAAACGTAGCTACTACGGTCAGAACTTCACAGAGGTTAAATGCATGGACACTGAGCGTGGCAGCGTCTGAGGGCTGCACGTCCAGCTCTTAGCAGGCCCACGTGCTCTCCATCCTACAGCTGTGCGAGGGAGGCAGCCATCTTTCCAGCTGAGGAGACTGACCTTGGAAACTTCCCAAAGCCTGAGCCAGCACTGGCACCCACATCTTGGTACTTCGAACCCTTTGTTTAGTCCCTGCTGGGATATTTTCAGGCAGCAGAACCGGTCAGTTCCAGCCACACAAAGGGTTCATGCTAAGTCTTAAAGGACTGAAGTAAGGTCCTGTGAGATCCAGGCGGCAGAGTCAGTGGGGCTGACATGGACCAAGGACCAGAAGTGGCAGCAGACAGGCCAGGCTTGGGGCTGGGATCAAAGGGACACCGTGAGATGCGGGCAGCGGCCAGAGCTCTGGGGTGAGGCTCTGATGTGGCAGGGGTGAACACTCAGGGTCTTTTCCAGGTTTCCCTGGAGGTCGGGAGACAGGCTAAGGCTCTACGTGGCCCAGCCATCAGTGACTAACATGACAGTGGGACAAATAGAAATGCTGAGAATATTTCCTGTGCTCTTCCGCTCTCCATTCTCAGGCTAAGGAAATTCACTTACACACACACACACACACACACACACACACACACACACACACACGGCAGTGGCTTAAGCTACTGGGCCCCTGTGCTTGCTCATTTCCACCTTGGGGCTCCATTCCCATGTCCCCCACCATCTGTAGAGCATCTGTCCATCCCTCCAAACTCTGCCCAGATCGAAGTCCTCTGGGGTGTCTTTCCTGACTACAAGCACGAGGAGTTAGGGCCCTACCTGTGCACACCTGTCCCTGGTGTGCGCTCCTGCTGAGGCATCAGGGCCAGGCTAGTTTGCCCAACTGCCTTTCCCGGCAGACTGAGCCCCTGAGCGGCCTAGACTATTTTCCTCCTGGTCAGAGCCTGACATGTAGTAAGCAGGAAGTCTGGTGAATGAGCACCTGCATGAATAAATGAATGCGTATATGAAGGGATGAACAGCAGGTGAGGGAGTGGAGATGTTAACCTTTTTCCTTTTCCTGCCGCTGTGATGTCCTGCGAGAGCAAGCTATACTTGTCACGTCTGGCTCACTCTGTACTGTATCTTTTGAATTAAACTTTGTTTTTGTAAAATTAATGAGAGTTTCATTGGGAAGTTGGCAAGCTTGAGACACACACAACGAGCAAAAAATGCTTCGATGGCTGGGGGAGGAAAAGAAGAGGAGAGAAAGCGGGGTCTGGGACCCCTCGGGCTCATGGCAACGATTGCTTGAGCTTGGCTGAAGAGGAAAAATAGCCCTGCACAACAAGTTGACTTGCCTGTCACAAGTGACCTCAAATTGTTCTTACTCCACCTCCTCCCGTGAGCTCAAAAGGGCAGCCAATGGGAGCAGGCTTTGAAATTGGTACAGAACCTCAGGAAAGAGGTATTATTATTCTGCCTGAATGATAAAACGTTGCCTTGAGGATCAAATGCTGGCTTCACATGCTTGCCAAAAGGAAGGATGATTTGAATATTAAGTGCACTCCTTTCACTTAGTCAGACCTACACTAATTAGCAAAAAACATTCTCCAAAATATAAAATTAAACCTCTGAATAAGCACAATTCTTTACAGATGCTGAGGAAGTACATGGAGACCAGCAGCCTAACGTTAGATGTGAAGCCATCTGTGATCCCAGAACAATCTCTTTTGCTAGCTGGAGGGGCACTCTGTTGTGCGATGCTAAATTAAACACCACTACATATTATGGCTTCAAAAAAGTAGTTACAGGCTTCAATAGGCACACTTTTATCACAAGAACACACAAACCTAAAGCCAAAATACTGCGAACTATTGTGCCAAAAATCTGCTCACCCCATACATTGTTAGAAAGAGCAATAGGAAAAGAAATCTGAAATTTGTTGCTGTTTCGTTTGTTGGTAGCCAACATCTCCTCTCTCCCTTGGCAAGGCAGCCACTTTACTATGCAGTATTTTGCACACAAAAATCTGCATAGAATGATTTGCATACCAAAAACATGTTTGTAAAAGAAACTGTTTGCATAGAAGCCAGGGGGAGATGAGGCTGCCACTGTTGGCTTCTGTACACACAACACCCCCCGGGCTACCCACTTTTCATTTTCCTCCATGCTGAATTCAGCACAAAGAGTCATGTACTTTGTGATGCATTAAAAATTAAAGCAACTGTATCCTGCGTATGTCGGAGAACAACAGTAACAACACAGGCTAAATCTTTCCTCTAGCAGCCTGTCAATATTGTGCTAAAAAGTTGGTAATGATAATCGTCAGTGCTATAATATATTAAGCTTTTATTATATTTCCATGTTTCTTGCTTATTCTCATAGTCTGCTTTCAGGTTAGGTGCTCTGATTCCCTGTTTTACATATGGGGAAACTGAGGCATGTTGGGTTGTGGCATCTTGCCAAAGCCACGCAGGCTAGGAGTGATGGAGCCAGGTTTGGAAGCCTGGTCAGACTGTCCAGCCCCATCCCCCATTGCTTCTGTCTTTGCCACACACCATTGTCCCCTGCCACTGTGGCAACTCTACCAGTGTGGGTGGTGAGGTGTCATGCTGTGAGAAGTGGACCATTCTGCTTCCCTGCTTTTGTTCGTGTGTGTGTGTGTGTGTGTGTGTGTGTGTGTGTGTGTGTGTGTGGAGCCTAACAGGAAGACAGCCACAATGTCAAGGCTCAGTGATGGTCCCTAACAAACTAGCTCAGGGACAGGCTCGTGATGCAGGGCACCGGGAGGGAGAGGGTGGTGGCCGCCATGCAGCAGGCCACTCCCGCACAGGGCCTACACGCTGTCACTGACTCCTGCCAGCCCAGCTGTATCCCAGGAAACACAGAAAGGTTTGTGTGGGCTTAATTATAATGCTACTTACGGAGACTTTATCAGCAGTGAATCAGTGGTTTTACGCTTACTAGAAAAAACTGGTAGTGGCTCTTTCAAATTGGTTCCTCTGATGAATCCTTTTGCATTTTTTCCAGTATGCAGCAATTGAAGGAAATTGGCCATTTCTGAAAAGTACAGAGGGGAAAAGAATGGAATGAAAAGGCTGCAGATGTCTGCAAAAATAGGATTATGAACATTTGCTTTCTTTAAAGATATTTATCTTCGTGGGGTTTTTTTTCTCACTAGTTTCCTTTTTCAGGACGTGATAGCAAAACATATATTTAATCATATCCCAGGACCCACAGATCATCATTATCCAGACACTCCGGACTTTTAGGCTTCATTATGCATTAGTCACTGTTAGAGATTGATTTTTCCAACCCTTCCAGTAATAAATCCCTTTTTATACGATCTATGACAGCTCTGACTTGCAGGATGTTCTCTCCTAAGCGGGCAATGTGACAGCAAGCAGCTTTAGAGGCAGCTACATCTGATTTGAAGCCTGAGTTTGTCTCTACAGGTTGTACTCTGTCTCTCTGAGCCTCAGTTTATTTATCTGTAAAACGGTGTAAATAATACAAGATGGACCTTGGTTGCATCTTCCTGTTCTTCCATGTTTACTAGGACAAAAACAAAAAAGAATCCCAATTTTGTTGAGGTTGCAGTGTCCAGAATCCTAGCAGGCAAGCTGAACTGATCTAAGAACTCCATTCCTATGTGCTGGTAACTGACCTACATAAAGGGGTTCAATAGAATTCTGTCCAGTGCGGCCAAAAGGGAATCTGCCCAGCACTTTTGAGAAGGAGAAAGTCCCCAGCTGCCCTCTCTGGGTGTGATGACAGACACAATGGTGTGGCATCAATTTTATGGACATGAGGAACAACATCACTAACAAGGATGGCAGAGCCGAAGCCCTGATAGAGCCGCGGCCTCAGGGTTGTGATCTGCCCCTATCTTCAGGTTTCTTAACAACCAACATTTTTACATCTGTTGTGTGTTGAGTTTTGTGTTGCTTCCAGCCAAAAGGAAAAATTATTACTATTCCTCAGACAAATAGCAGCCTCTGGCGATAGTTGTAATAAGTGATAAAACTTAGGACAAATACCTGGCACAGTAAATAGTGCTGCAAATGTCAGTACATTTATCAGATACAGGTAATGATTGAAAAGAAAGTTAAATGCAGATAAACAAGATGAATGGTACTAATTTTTAGCATGACCAAAAGAAAAAAAAAAGGCTTCATACCCTTGGTAAGGACGAGTGGGTAAAAATGGAGGGAAAGTTGAGGACCACAGCCACAAACCTTCCTTCTGAGGGTAAGATAAAGCCACGCAGAGCCCGAGGAGCCAGCTCCCGGAGATGAAAGGCCCGCGGTGCTTGCCAGGTTTCTGTCCACCAGCTCGCACGCAGACAATCACCCTGTCAGCAGCCCGACTCCTGGCGGGGGCTGGACAATCCCGTACGTGTGAATCACCAGCCTCACAAAGGGGCGAGGTCCTTCCAACCCACGTATGGTACTCTGTCTCCGGAATACCAAATTTTACCAGTGTTTTCTAAAACCGTGTTTTATGTCTTTACAGTAGGGAAGATAGATACAGCATTCTAGAAGAATATAATTGAATACCACAGGCCAGGGGGTGTCAGTGAGTGGTCAAGTGTATGCTCAGCATGCAGAAGGCCTTGGGCTCAATCCTGGGCGTTGGAGAAAAATGAACAGAGGAGAAAGCAAGGAAAAGAAAGAGCATGTTTTAATGGTATAACTGACCCTCTTGGATCACCAGGGTAACTCACAAGACTACAGATGGTTTACAAATGAAATTACCAAATTTTGAGATACAACTTGCTAGCACTCAAAATAAGAACACAGCAAGATAATGTGCACATCACCGGACAGAGGAATATGCATGGTAGAGTAACGCCTCAGAGTAGATACTTTAAAAATAATCTTAAAGTAAACCAAACTTTTTTCTTCACTGTATATTTTATGTTTTAACTTTTTTTTTTGGTACGGGGGATCAAATTCATGACCACGTGCTTGCAAGGCAGGTGTTTATGCTACTGAGCTAAATCCCCAGCCCTTTTCACCGTATATTTTAACAAAGAGGTAAATTATCAGATTACAAACTAACACTGTAAATCAAACGCATACACACACTCAAGATCCATATTCATTTCTGCCTTGGGTCAGTGTACATCCATGCACACCCAATATTCCCTACAGTTAAGAGGCACTGATTTGATAACTGGTGGTCATGAGGCTTTTTAAACCCCTGAGTTAATAATCACAATCAGCATATCTATTAGAGAAAAGTAATAAGATATATAGACGAGTTCATCATGATTCACAAACAAAAGTGTATTTCTGGTTACCTTGTAGTTATGTAGATGAAACTGCCAGCTCCTAACAGTGTTGACTGAGAGTCTCCCGTACATTATACACACACCTGCAGATCTGCAAATCCATCTGTTACACTAAAGGGCAAACTTGGCAGTAGCTCAGTTTCTCACACTGGAAAGTGATTGTCCAGAATTAATGATCGCATCTCTCGAGCATGAACCATCACATATTCCTTAGCGGTGACCCCCACTCTTTACAGCAGGGTGGACCTTTTGTTTTCTAACATGACTGTTTACTTTTTACAGCTGTGCTCTTAACTTGACTGAGGAAGACAGCAGTCCTGGAAGAAAGAAGCAGGTGTTTAATGGCACTGCGTAACAGCGTCACTGAGATAGAATTCTCAGACCCACGACATCCACCATTCTAACGGGTGCAGTTCAGTGGTTTTGAGTTGTCACAACATGTTGCCCCATTGTTTCCAGACCCTTCCCACCGTGACCTCAGGGGCTCAGCCTCCCTAGCACTTCCTCTCCCCAGCTCCCGCTTTTGCCCACGCCCCGGTCTCTGGCACCGATGTACTTCTGTCTGCACAGGTTTGCCTGATGAGGACATTTACATAAATGAAATCATACAACAGGCAGCTTTTTAAGTCTGGCTGCTTCTACTTCGCATAATGATTTCAAGATTCATCCATGTCGTCATATGTATTTTACTTCTTTTTATGGAAAGTAGAACTTCATTCCTTTTTACAGTGAAAAAATTCTCTAGCAGGATTTGCAACATTCATTTGTTGATAGATTTTGGGTATTTTGCTCCTCTGAGGCTTGAATAAAGCATCTCATACTTTTTTAATTGAGGTGAAGTTCATATAACACAATCCTGTTGAAGTGTACAATTAAGTGG